CACACATTCGTTCCCCTTTCAACTGCTTCAGCTGAGTTCAGAGGACAGGCAGGAGGGCCGATCTTGGCTCCCAGTCTGGGGTGGCTCAGGGCAGGGTCTGAGAAACTGCCCCACAGCTGCTGGCTGCTCTGCTCGCGGGGCGATGGGCTCCGCAGACGGCAGCAAACAGAAGCAACGAGCCCAGCTGCCACCTTGTGTTTGCACCAAACCCAGCGACGTCTCCCCAACTTGCTCTCTCCCACGTAGAAGGGGGGAAGCTCAACGCCCACCTCCGAGGTGGGTCCACACCTGCTTCTGATTCAAGCGTTACCACCCAGAGAAGCATTAAGGGATTAGGGATTAGCAAAGAACCAAACAATAATCTCTAATCTAGTTCAGCTCTTCCAGCCAAACTGCTCCACTCACACCCTCCCAAATGGCTGCAGTAGGTGACTCGGCCCCTCGGCCCCGCTCAACCCACAATCAACAGCTTTACCAGCCCCATAAAAGATGATCTGACTTGCCCTGTTCCCAAAACCACTCATCAGCACCACCGAGACAAACCCAGTTGTGCTCCCAGGCCGTGACACAGCCCGTTGCAACCCCCCGATAAGCGAACCCTGCAAACTCGCAAGCTCGCGAGCGCTGGGCAGCACCGTGCATAGCCGAACACGGGGGTTTGGGCTTTGCGGGGTGCTCTGCCTTGTACCCCAGCTCGGGCACCGCCCTGCCCGCACGTCCTGGGGGAACAGGAAAAACAAGGTGACCCTCCCGCTGCTCGGGGGAGCACCCAGCTGGCACTTTTGGGTAGCAAACCATGCAAAGGGTGCTAGAAGAGTCCCCTGCATCCCGTGGCAGGAGCACAGAACCAGCCTGCACCAGCTGGCCTCACCGAGGGGCTGCCCCGAGTCGGGGGCTCCATGGACCCCCCCCGCCCTTGGGGCCATCCCAAGCCCTGCGGCCCCATGCGGTCTGCAGGGCCACCCCGAGTCCAGGACCCTGCAGCCCCACAAAGCCCATAGGATCACCCCAAGCCCGAAGGCCCCACACAGCCTAGAAGACTGCTCTGAGCCCAGGGCTGGCTGGCCTCACCGAGGGGCTGCCCCGAGTCGGGGGCTCCATGGACCCCCCCCGCCCTTGGGGCCATCCCAAGCCCTGCGGCCCCATGCGGTCTGCAGGGCCACCCCGAGTCCAGGACCCTGCAGCCCCACAAAGCCCATAGGATCACCCCAAGCCCGAAGGCCCCACACAGCCTAGAAGACTGCTCTGAGCCCAGGGCTGTGCAGCCCCACACGGCCTATGGGGCCTCCCCCTACAGCCTGGGAACCCGCCGTCTCAGGGGACAGCCCGTGGGGCTGCCCCAAGCCCAGGGCCCTGCACCCCCACGTAGCCCAGGGGGTCGCCCTGAGCCCAGCGCCCCATACAACCTATGGGGCAACACCAAACTTGGGGTCCCACACAGCCCACGGGGCCACCCCAAACCTAGGGCCTCCCAGCCCCACACAGCCCATGGGATGGCCCCGAGCCCAGGGTGTCCTGGGGGGGGGTGTCCAGTGGGTTGGGGAGGAGCCCATCCCATCCCTTCCAGCGGTGGCATCCCCTGCGGGGCCAGTGGGGCACGGCCGTGGGGAGCGGGGCCACACCAGGGCAGGGACTGGGCAGGGGGACACTAGGCCAGGGCTAGAAGGCGCCTGGATGGGCTGCGGGGCTGGGGTTAGGAGCAGCTCTGGGGATGCCAGTGCAAGGGACTGGGGGAGTCGGAGCTGGTGGGGGAGCAGGGGTTCCAGGAAAGGGGGCTGGGGCACTTTGGGGAGGGAGCGAGCCCAGAGGCAAAGAGGTGCCAGGGCCGGGTGGGGAGCTGGGACCCACCGCTGGGTGGCAAGGATCAGGGGGGGATCGCTGGTGCGGGCCTGGCAGCACTACGGGAGGTGTCGGAAAGGAGATGGTGGCTCGGCACCCTCGGACGCTCCTGCCCTGTCAGGAGGAAGGGGAAGATCCTCTGGGGTGATGGGGGGAAGGCAGAGCAGGCACTGTCTGTCGATCGACTTTGTGTTAGGATTTATCCACCGGAACGGTGGATAACTCTCCGTGAACTGGTGAGCTGAGGCCGTTCACCCAGCAAGGCCAGGCAGACTCCCTGCCCCATCTGCATTACTTCTGTTCATCAAAAATCAACCAACGCAGGCAGAAAATACACCTCGCACCTGCTGCATCTCCCACACTGTGGGAGAGGTACACCACGACACGAAGCAGGGAAAACCCCAAATCAGGCAGCTGAGCCTTACCTCGAGGGTCACCTGGCTGACGCTCCGGGGTCTTTACAACACGTCGCCCCCAAAAGAGGATGCCACACAATCGCTGATCACGGCTCTCCCGCTGATAAGCATTTCTCTCCGCAGGCAGAGATCTGCCGGAGGGATGCAGCGGTCGTCAGAGCGTCGCCATCCGGATCCAGCTGTGCTGCTCCCCTTCCTACAAGCACTGAGAAATCAGTTGCCCAGGTTTAAACACTCCTACGTACCACAAATACATGCATCGAGGTGGATTCTGCATCAAAGGTGGTCTGAGCGACTTGAGGCTTTTGTGTAATTCCTGAAAGAGGAGGAGGATCGCAGCCGGCTCGCCGCCCTCCGGTCCGCCACCCCTCGGAGCCGGCAGAGCAAGATGGGGCACGGACGGACCGAGGCCCACGAGCTAGGAAGGAAAACTTTTTAACAGTTTAATTTCCCCTGCGGGCACTCTCGATGGCCCAGTTAAGTCAAACCACGGATGTTCTCCCTGGCTATAAGCCTGTCCGCTTAGAAGTGATAGTACTGCACTTATAAAGCTTTAAATACGTGTGCCAGCCAGCTGGAAAAGCAGCCTCGCGACTGCCCTCTGAAACCGCGGTTTGGGCTTTTGAAGTGGAATAGTTGTCGCTGTTAAGCCGTTTAACGGTATTCTGATTTGACAGGCTTGAGAACAATTCCTTAACTGGGATTTAAGAAGAATCCCAATCTTTCGCATGAATTTGATTACCCAATCCCAGTCTCCACATCGAGCCAGACCCGAGGCTGCTGTTGATCCAACACCTCCGTGTTATTTCTCTTGTTCTAATAGCTTAGGTGATAAATAAAGTGCTATATAGAGCCCTTGATACAAGAAATGGCATTTTAAGTCGCACCAGGAAAAGAGCCCCAAAACCACCCCCGGGCAGGGGCTTGGCCGGCTCCTCGCGGCTCGGGGGCCCGGGCAGCGTTGCCCGTGTGGGG